CTCTTGATAAGCTTCGGTTTCGATCATATATCTCGAAGCTTTGTCACCGAAAATAGTCACATTACCTGCATAAAATACTTTACTCTTGTCAGTTCGACGAACAGTAATATCAGGTCGATGGCGTAAAATTTTTCTTATACTTCGTATTACTTTTTGTTCACGTCGAGCACGAATATTTAGTTGATGTGGTAATTTTTTTGATTGAAGTTCATAGAGTATACGTTTCAAGCAAGGAAAACCTTCTTTCTCACGTGGTTCTATAAGCTGCACATGATGATCATCAAGACAACCTTGAACAATTGAACGTAATGTTTTATATTGTTCATTGACAATACCATCAATAGATTGACGTGAAAATCGACTTTGACATGGTGGAATATATTTAAGGCCTTTGATAAACATAGACATTTGTGCAGGTGATAGATTTAAATCAGTTTCGATAAAACGAGATGAGACAGTGATAGTTGTATAAATACTTAAATTGCTCTGACGGATACGTTGCCTTTACCGTTGTCTACCGCCGGAGCCTGTTCGAAAAAAGATATCATTTTATATTGAAATAATTCTTGAGCACGTTTTTTCATATTTTCTCCACGAATTTCTATTGCTTGGATGAGTTGTTCAATAGATGTTCGTAGTGAATTATTATCAAGTTGACATAATTTATTTTTCGTATGGATTGCCAATTGAGCATAACCACGAGCTGTATCTTGAGCTATAGCGATCGTCATAGCCATCAAATCAAATTTATATTGTGTAATTGTTTTAGAGCAACGTGATGCCATACTAGCACGTCGATCTTTATGCAGAATAGCATGTGAAAGTATTGTTTGAATAGGAGCAATGGATTGATTAAGAATTTTATCATATGGTTGAGGAAGTCGTCTTAATGACACTCGTTTTCGAAGAATTTCCACTTCTTCCAGTGCTTTCTGTCCATTAGCTATGGCTTACCAATAGATTTTGATCAGTACAATCTAAAATATCAACCAAATAAATTTCTTTATTCCTGTTGCATCTAATAAATCTGTTATATAGTGAAACCTGTTCTTCAGTCGGTTTCAATGCATATACGGCTGAAATGAAACGATGATCATCAGCATCCAATTTTAACATTGCACGTTTATGTTTGAATTCCATATTTAAACGATATTGACCATGTTTAACCATTGCTTTCACAGCTGATGAGAGAAATTTTGAATCGATGAATGGCTGAACATTTTCAGTCCATTCTGGTAGATAAATCAATTGTTGTTGTAGTTCATGATTTGTTCGATTCATTTGATGTTGAATAGTTTTTTGACGTTGTTCAACAAGTTTCTCAGATCGACCATAGGATACACAAGTATAATGTTGTTTTGCTTCCGATTTCGGTACTCGTGGAGCCCAAATACCCTCAGTCATACTCAAATCGAAATAATCTTTCCATAATTCTTGTTGTAATTTAAAATAATACATCATATTAAAGGTATGAGCTAATTGACGTGTTGATTTTAACTTTTCGGCACTATCTAACCATTCATAAATTTTATCGCCATCGGGGACTGCTTCTGATAACATATCTTTAAATTTTTGATCGCCTACTGTTAGATATTGAAGTAGGAGAGTAGACTTGAATATTTGGTCTGATAATTTGGCTTGATGATTCAGATCACTGATCATTTGAATGCCATATGGTTTGTTTCAAGATTTTTTATCTTCTGTTTCTTGGAACATTCTTGTACAATTGACAATCGACTGAAAGATTGACTGAGATGTCTATCAATTTTAGTTGATGTATAGCGTTTGCGTTTCGTCGAATTAGACTTAGCAATGATCTCATCGAATGGAATCTCGTAATCATAATAAAATAATAACACGATAAAGATTATCATTGATGGTCAGCCAATATATATACAGGTTGATTACGTTATTTTTAATAATTTTGTGTCGTTTGCTGGATTTATACAATACATCAAAAATTTTTTATTTCAGCACAGTTGGATAGGGCTTGAGCTCCTCTATCAAAACATATAATTTGTTTATTAGTTTCTCATGCTCTAGCCCAAAATTTCGTTAAATCTCAGACAAGTGTAAAAAAAAGTTTTTTTAAGAGTCATCATCACGATTATTTATAGTTTTATTTTCCATATATAAAAACGTAAAAAAACGATAATTACAATCGATGTTCGATATGAGAACCTCGAGCTTGATAAATCTTCAAGACTCTCCTTGGCCAGGAAGCTAATACTTTATCGATATACGTCTGACTCATCTTTCGCCACTCATATAAAATCTTCTTTTTAAGTTCCTCAATAGAATCAATACGTGTTTTATTAAGTTGTTGTTTTAAATGTCCCCAAATTGAATAATCCATTGGTGCAGCATCAGGACTAGCAGGCATCCATTCTTGTGGTGTTATATAATGAATTTTATTCTGCTCCAAAAATTTAATTGTTTCTTTTGCAGTATGACTTGGTGCTGAATCTTGATGAAAAATCCATTTTAATTTTTTTCCTTTTCGAAATAAACGTGGAACATCTTTTGTTAAAAATGGTTTTAAAACATTGTTAATGTAATAATTTGAATTAACTTTCGTACCAGGTGTAACAAAACGAAGTGTAGTTTTTCCTTGACTTGATACACCTCCCCATACCATAAAGCCTTTTGGTCGAGAAGTGTTTTGTTGAATAATCATTCGATCATAATCGGGATCAGTCTTTTTAATATAACATACTTTCCTTCTCCCACTAGTTTCATCTAAATAAAACCAGGTTTCATCGGTTGTAATGAAGTTCTTATATCGACCACGTGCTAATCGACGATAAAGTTAAAATGATCGTTGTCCACGTTTCATAACATTCGATGATGTTAACTTTTGAACTTTTTGTTTCTTTCGAAGAGTAAATCCAGAATTTTTGATAATGTTCGAGACAGTCGATTGGCTAATGTGAAGGTCTTTAGCAATAGCACGTTGAGTTGGTGGTTCTTTAACATCAATCTTTTCAATAACCTTCTTAATAATAGAAGGTGTTTGTGATGGCTTCTTTCGAAAAATTTTAATTTTTGATTCGGAATTTCTTTGACGACCGATCTTTTGTTTGACATTTGACACAGTAGGTTGAGATACATGTATACCATCAAGTTTCAAAATGTTCACAATAAGAGACTGAGAATATCCCCAACGTAATAGTTGCAAAATACGCCCTTCGACAATGTCGGATATTTTATTACGTGGCATTTATTTGAAATGAATTTGATGAATTTGAACGAATTGATCTAACGAGAAAGGCTATAACTGTCATAGCGAGGAAAGAAAAAAAATCGTTCAATATATGATGCGCACGTGCGATCGGAAATTCTATTGAGTATACAACAGGCTGTCTATATATGGAAAATAAAACTATTAATAATCGTGACAACAACCTTCAAAAATTTTTCTTAGCACTCGTTTTAGACTCATCCAAATTTTGGACTAGAGCATGAGAAACTAATAAACAAATTATATGTTTTGATAGAGGAGCTCAAGCCCTATCCAACTGTGCTGAAATAAAAAATTTTTGATGTATTGTATTAATCCAGCAAACGACACAAAATTATTAAAAATAACGTAATCAACCTGTATATTCTTACCATCATTTGTGTATCCTCTGCCATTTGACTGATTTGATGATTAATTTTGTTTACTTCTATTATAGTATTAGGAACACTTTGTTGTTGTTTCTGTTTTCTTTCTGCTCTTGCTTGTATTAAGAATGCCCTGATTTCATCATCCAAATTTCGATTGCGCAATCTTCGCTGAAAATTTTGTTCGGCTCGATTGCCGCGACTTTTCTTCTTCTTCTCTGGTTTTGTTGCTATTAATTGTGGTTGTTGTTTTGGTAAAGGAGATAAGATATCGAATGGACTGTATACTTGGTTAGGCAAAAAGTCATGCCATCAACGTTCTTGATCATAAGAATATCGCTGTTTATCAGCCATCGTACT